TTGAGCCATGTGCGCTTAACAACCAGATTTTTCTCCTTGCGTTTGGCGGCACTCGACCCGAGGTCTTCTGATTATGGTTCGAATGTTTTACCCTTATGGTTAACAGGACGAACAATCTGTTGGCGAATTTGGTGTTTTTGATTTCCAGGCTATTTAGAGATATCCCCGCAAATTGAAAGCGACGTCGGGCTAATATCTAGGCTCAGGCTGGCACCTAGCTGGTCGCCGGCGACAGAGGTGATCCCATCAATATTCCTTCAGCTTGCTGCTGGTGTTTTCGTTCAGCTGTTCCGAGGTTGCGGTGACACAAACGTGAGGCAGCTGCATATTGAAGTTGATTTCGACGCCCGCTCCTTCTACAAGTGGGCCATCATTCTCAAACCTGTTCCGCGCAACGATTAAGGGCTTAATGTGTTGATACGTTGGCTAACACACTCCCCACATCCAGGCTGATCATGTGTGCGTCCATTGCTGCGCGCATATAGAATACCAATGGGACCAAATGGGCTTATGTTCGCCTACTTTCTACTATCGGGCTGATGTTTGCCTCGCTGGCACAGCTAGCTGGGCACAGCTAGCTGGGCGTCCGGTCCGTCCACCCGTAGCGCGGTGAGTTCGAGTCGCTTTAGGTGATCGCTTTTTTGCCCTTGACTGGTGTGGATTGCGGTCAGTGGCAGCGGTCGCGTGAAGGTCAGCTGGCGTGAAGGGAAGGTGGCGTGGCGCTGGCGTGGCGTGAAGGTCAAATCAGAAGATATCGACTCGAGCCTCAGCTATTCCAAGGACAAACTTCGGCTCCTGATGTGTACATGGCTGAATGACGAACACCATTGATTTTTTTTCTCAGGGCTCAACATTATAAGACCCAACGACGGGTGAAGCATTAACAAGCTGGTGTGCATAAGAATGCATCAAAGCAGTACGTCGATGTGAACAATTATTTAAGCTGTATTGGGGAGCAGCATGTTGAGTCATACCTTTTAGCATTCCACTCTGAGGATCTTATCTACAGTTTCTGACGAGTGATGAGTCAACTTAGGCTAATATCGGTTGGATGCAATGAAGATCTTGTTTGCCAGCACCGCTGGGTTAATGATAAATTCAATTGAGGTAGGGTCCCCTACTCTCCTGTTTTTATACCACTCGAGAAAGCATTCTTACCTTTGTGCTTGCGCTCAGATAGTTGTGAGTGTATATAGTAATGGAAACGGATTTGGTACAAGTAGCCAAGTTGTAAACAAGCACAAACGGCCTTTTAAATCAGGCGATCGTCAAGTATTGACATATGATACAAATAAAAAATGCCTTTCTCAAAGAACCGCAAGAAAAATAGGCATCTGATGTATAGGCAGGCAGCCGCATAGTTTTTCTATCTAAGAACATAACTGAATGCAACGCGAGTGGCAATGCAACAAAAGCATAACTGTTGACAAACGCGCAACAGGTCTGCTCTTGTCTGGTGCATGTCTGGAAAACTAAAAACTTGGGAGAAGCTTGCTTCCTATTTCCTGCAAAGCCACCCATGATAGAACACCGGCAACCCGGCGGTGACGACCTATGAACGACTGATGCCCAAACTCAGCTCGGACACACAACAGCTGCAGCGGCTCGAGAGCCGTTACTCGCGTGACAAGAGTGAGCACACCAAAGCGCCGTACTACGGGCAATCGTAGCATCTCCGGCGCGTGGGTGGTTGTGAGGATATTACGCGTGATTATTACATCACGTGCACAGGTAAGTTTGTCGATCGTGTGTCATTCTAGTTCGCTATGCGTGAGTGTCATTTGTTCACGACGCATGCCATTGTATGCGACGTAGGCGCAAAATTCCAAACCTTTTGATTTCGTCGCTCCTGTGGCACGTTACAGCTCCCCATAACGAAAAACAGCATCGCACATGAGAAGGACAAGTGTCCCCATCAGCTACTGTTTAGCTTCTTTAGGAAGACGGTGCCGTATCATAGCGAGTCCCATGGGAATACCGCAGCAGCGGCGCATAATGATGGAAATGCGTTCTTCCCATGAAATGCGCGAATCGAATCGTGCAGGGAGGGCGCGCCGCTGCGCACGCACGGCAGGTGTAGCGAGGGGGTCTTCCCAGTGTGGAAGGCGGTCACGGCGGCCGCTTCGCCGTGGTCCATGGATGGGAAAACGGGTGCAGTTTGTTGGTCCAGTGCAAATTTCGCTACGTCGGGTTGGCGATATTTGACTCGGTTGTTTTGGAAGATAACAGGAAACCGCGGAGGGCTCTCCGTGCTATAGATATTGACTTGTTGAACGTTCTGAATTAGTTTGAAAAGTACGTGCGATTTAATGCGCTCTTGACTGCGTCTCAGCAAAGCCAAAACTTCTGCTCGGTCCCCTAGTATGGAGTTTGCTCCCTGTCGGAGCGCGCCCTATCATGTTCCTCTACGAGAGCTCTAACGTCATCATCTTGAAGCCCCAGATAGGACGGACACTTCAGCTTTACACTGCGTAGTAGCATTTGAATTTGATGACATTAAATTTGAAATGATCGGATCCCAAACCGACAGCCAAGCGTCCCATTTCTTGGCCGCGGATCCTGCCTCACAGATTGAGATATAATAAGCATGTAGGAGATCGAGACCCAGGGCGTCTCGGATGAGGCGCCGTGCGGACCGGACTCGTATCTTCGACGGCTCTTGTTGGATCTTGGCAGCAGTCATCACCACTAAGATCAGATCGTGATCACTCTGTTGCAGGCTTGTGCTTGCTCATCGGATGTCAAGTCCGGTTTGCTGGTAATGATGTGATCAATCCAGGCTGGGTTGGATCCCGGGTTAGAAGGAGAGGTAAAAAACGTACTTACTGAGAGGTCGCTGATCAGCTGTATGTGCCACTCCAGATTTCTGGGAACGTGTAACATCGAAGCTGGTGCCGCCCAGGATGAGGCTTGGCTAGGTTCTTGACAAGATGAGTGCAGGCTGACTGCAGATCATCGGTGGCTGGAGCCGTCTCCCCACCAGGGAGCAGTAGATCACGCAGACCATGAGAGGCCAGTGGCGATTTAACATAAGCCGGAGTGCCGTCTGTGAAGTACTTATGGCTAGCGCCGACAGAGACTTCAGCTGCAGTGTGGCACGGTGTATGATGGGGACACCTCCGATCTTTCAGATCCCCCAGTTTGTCGGTCTTTCCTGCAAAGTACACATCCCTGGAACAGGAGCATGCGGTCATCGATCCTCCCGGTGAGCTACGTTTTTCCAATGTTGAGTATTTCCAGTTGCTCAGCGACAAGCAGATGGCTCACCTCATCCAGAGATTTGACGAAGGATCTCACCTTCAGGAGACTCGTTTTCAGCGCGATGGTGGGTGTGAAAGCACGTTGCATCTCTGCTTGTCGGGTTTGACGAATTTTACCGCGAAGCGCGCGAGACAGGTAACGCGCTTTACCCCCGTTCGGCATTGATGCGCAGTGCCCGCCCTTGCTACCAGGGTGACAGGCAGGCGACGCCATACAGCCTCAGCTGCTGAGCGCGTCGTAAAGCCTCGATGACTCGCTCCCCCCGGCGGTGACGGACGCGGTGGGGAGCGAGCTCCGGGGTCTTGGTGGCGTGGCGGATCTGGAGGCACGATCCGTGCGGTAACACGCACCCGGATGGGCCGATGTGATATGCGTCCAGCTCGAGACCCCCCCCCCCCCTTCCTCGATGGCGGCGGCGTCTTTGTAACCAGAGTCGATGCAGCAAAGCTATCACCGAGTTGTACAGCTGCGTCGTGGCGGCGCCCTGAAGTTGAAGCGGAGCTTATGAATAGATGGCGCTACTGACCAGCCCGTCCGACCTCGCTGGGTCACGTGGGGGAACGCTGAGAAGCGCCATCGGCTGCGCAACAGATGACTGAGAGCTCAAGGCCTCCCCGAGTGTCTCCGGTTGGTGGTCGAGGCGAGTCGAAATGTCAACAAAGGTGAGGCGAGAAGAATGAAGCGAACAGCAACAACAACCGCTGTATGTTACTTTTCCCGCAAGGCAAGAGATGTCCCCATAGGGCTTAACACCACCTCCACAAATTACAGGGAGACATAAAAACGACAATTACATAGGCAAATCAATGCTAAGAAGTAGACAATAGAGTGTCAGCGCACCCATGCGCAGTAGAGGTAGAGTCAGATTTTCTGCTTTTTTAGTCAACTTGAGTTTGTCGATAAAACTATTGTGCAGACGAATGATAACACCGTCCAACTATAGGAGCTAGTCATATATTCCAACATGAAAAGGTGTGCAAAATTTGGGCGTAGGCTAAATCTTTGTCGCAGTTGATGAAATGAGATGATGTGACATTTGTTTTCACGAGCTAAATAAACCCGATCTATTACCGATCCCAATCGAACCTATGACGCTTGCCTTATAAACGCTCAATATTTCGTTCACTGTTAGTTTCAAAGCGCAAAAATCGCGCGATTCTTTCGTTGTTGTTATTTAATCCACGCGTATTGAACTATTCGAAAAACAGCGTTGTGGGTGTGCTTTTCATCTAACGTAGTCAGCGTTGCACACCAATTAGAGTAAGATCATTACCATATCCTGCCAATTAGAGATTATGAGCAGTCAGAAAGAAACGCCACCGGCCAGAGACTCCTCAGTCGCAAGGGGGGTCATCCACAGCCAGAAGGAGCTCGGTTACCTAAAACGGCCATTGAACGGCTAAAAAACCATGATTAGTTCTGCGGCTCCTTTTTGTCCAGAAAATACTTTGAAATGCAATGGTGGCCGACATAACTGACGCACAGCCCACTGATTCCAACAACTAGCCAGGATATTTACGCGACCATCCAGCCATACTATTGTGAGACTGTTCGAAGAAATATCTTAAAATAGCCCAGCACCACGGCCGTAGATTCGACATTGGCGGCACTCCTACCGTCGGCCGGCGTCAGCCAGAGGTTGGCGCCACCAAATGTCGCGATGCTGACACTGACACGTGTCAGAGCTGCCACCACCGCCGGTTTAAAGCCGTCCGCTCGCCCGCTCCACCCAGGTGGCGGCCAGAAGCCAGCGCCGGCGGCGTCGGCCGCGCGGATCCACAGCCATGGGTCGCATCAGCTGGCTGACGCTGCTGACGCTGATGATCAGCTTGAGCTTCACCTCATCTGGGCCCGTCGGTGAGCGCTCCTGTCTATCCTCTGCTTGCTTGCGGTGGGGCCGGGTGCTGAGTCCGCTATCTTCTCGTGCGTTCGTGGCTTGACATCCTAGACTGGTAAAGTAGTTCGCCCCGCGAATACTAGTCAGCTTGCTTTTTCGTTAAATGACGAGAACTGCGATATGGTCGAAAGCTTAAGAGCAATTATAACAACGATATTTTTTACCGATGCATGCCAGGCATGTAAAAGATAGAGATGTGGGAACAGATGTTACATCACATATACAACAGGATGCATAAATGTTTTACCTTTTCTTTATCCATCAAGGAGGATATATTAAAAATTAACTACCATCAGGTGTATGTGCAGTCCTTCGCAGCTACATTGAACAACTCATGCCAAAAACTGCATAAAAATCGGGATGTGTTACACGCATTGCCCCGGCCCGACAGGTGAACGTGTCAAAAGAGCTTGAGATCAGTAAAATCACGACTAAAATCCATAAGAGAATCGTCCATACTTTGGACATTCAACCTTATCTTAAATTCAGACTTGCCCTGTCACATTCATCAACCTCCAGATAAATATTTTCAAATGGGAAAGTTTTTCGTTCAGCCTGATCTCTCACCTAAACATGAGAAGTTACTCGCCTGTGATGCTTCAAGTGTCGACGTCTATCGCGTTCTTGGGAATCTTAGCGTCGTGTATATTCTTATAAACTGCTATGAAGTACAGGTGATGATATGTGTTGTGGTGTAACGCAAAAGTTATATATAGATGTTTAAATATTTGTATATATGTTTACACATTGATATATAAACACACACACACACACACACACACACACACACACACACACACACACACACACACACACACACACACACACACACACACACACACACACACACAACACACACACACACACACACACACACACACACACACACCACACACACACACACACACACACACACACACCGCACACACACGACACACACACACACACACACACACACACACACACACACACACACCACACCACACGCACACACACCACACACACACCACACACACACAACACACACACACACACACCTATATATATATATATATATATATATATATATTATATATATATATATATATTCTAATATCACGTGGCATCAGATAGTCACAATTGGTCATGCAACGAACGAGGGTATAAAAACGTTTTCCTTGTAAAGGGATATATGTACATTCTTGAGATATCATGATACCATCATATCGTTATATCATCAAATCATTCTTGTAGGTACCTTCTTGAGATATCTTAAATGTTAGCTATCGCTTAAATTGCTATTGATTCGTTTCATATCAGACATGGTTTTAATTGTGAGTGCTGGTATGCCTTTTAAGTGTAAACAATTGCTCTAGACAGCACAATTCTCTACTAAATAGTTAACTAAATATGCCCCTCAACGCGTCATGGTTTATGTCACCGTACCTTGCACAACATTGCTTGAGAGCCAACTGAGGGCCGTTAGATCTGAAAATTGCGCTTACGAACACCCAATATGAACGCCTCGACAACTAGGTTTTCAATGGCCTTGATCGTCGGGCGGCTTATGGATTGGCAGGATTTGAATGACGTTATTATGACGTCATGATTGCCAGGGTGACTTTGAAAAACTATCCTCGATACACCTCTCCCCATTTTCGTGGGCGTGTAGCTCAGAAACTAGCGGGGCTTAGGCCTTGAGAAGGACAGGATTGTGAACAACGCTAAAAGGCATTCACGATGGCTATTTCATTTCGAAATTCCGTATATAAATGGAACGCTCTCTTTTAACATTTTCAAATGTACGGGCTGTGCTTTGTCATCAAATGCTCTCATTTGGACGGTAAAGCCACCAGTTTTGCCAGCCCACGTCAGACTGAGCGGAAACGCATCAAAGCCTGGTGACCCAGCGGGCTGGATGCCCCTCTCCCGTGGTCTCCAACTGACATTGTCCTGACGTTTGACTTCCGTTTTACGTCTCTCTGATCGTTTTTCCTTTGCTAGGGCTTCTTTCTGGGCCTTAACTGACCCCATCTCTCACCTCCTTCTGACCTCCCTCTGACTGCTCTACATCCACTCCCTGGGCCCCATATGACTGGCCACTGGCTTTACTCTGGCCCCACTCCCTTACACTGCTCTGAACCCCCGGCGCGTCTGTTTCAGCTGGCGTTGCTCGGTTCCGCTCGCGACCGCCGCCGACCTGTGACGACTACTGTCCACGTCAGCGGTGCACGGTCGGGGCGAACGGCCGAATCCTCTGCCTCGGCGTCCCTCCCCGCCTCGACGACGACGATCGTGGACCATGCCGGTGCCGTACCAGAAGTGGTAAGCGCTGCAAGCGCTCCAAGTCCAAGCGCAAGTCGAAGTCCAAGTCGAAGTGCCGCTGCACAGGAGACTGCGGCTTCCGCGGCTCTGGGCGAGGTCGGACTGTGTTTGTCCGTGACCCTGCCCCGGCAGTGTCCGTGCCCGTGCCCGTGCCCGTGCCCGTGCCCGTACCCGTTTTTCATCGGCCCCCGCCCCCGCCCCCGCCTCCGCCTTCGCCTCCGCTTCCGGTAGTGCCCGATCCTAATCCGGTTCATTTGCAGCCGGTGCCGGTGCAACCGGTGCACGTGGTGCCGGTGCCGGTGCCGGTGCGGGTCGCATCCCGGGTGACCTGTAATGACCTCTGCCCCGGCCAGAAGTGCACGGTGACCGCAGACGGCCGGCCGCACTGCCTCGGAACACAGCCGTCGGACAGACGGGGACGCCGCCGCTGTCGTCACGGCAGGAAACGCAACGGACGTTGCAGGAAACGCTCCGGCTCTGACTCCAGCTCTGGCTCCCGTTCTCGCTCCGGCTCTCGCTCCGGCTCTCGCTCCGGCTCTCGCTCCGGCTCCAAATCACGCTCCCGCTCCGGCTCCAGAAAGAAACACTACCGCTGCAAGTACAAGGGCAGGTGCTGAGGGGCGCCAAGCTTCGCCGTAGTTCTTGGCTCTTCTGTTCGCATGTCTGCTCTGAAACGACGCGGCGCTTTCCTGACGGCGTTCTCATTCATCGAGAGGTGGTCTGACGGTTATCTTGCAGCCCAAAAGAATGAAGCATTGCGCGAATTTTTGCGTCGAAACACTTCTGTTTTCTCCCTAAAACCGTGCAGGCATGAATATAAACCCTTATTTCCGGCGTCAGAACGTTATGGAAGATGCAATATTAACCTGCTAAGATGTCAACGCTTTGCTGCCATCAGATTTGGATCATTATTATCTTGGCTGCTAGTTGATGCAGAGCATGGACGATAGAACAAAGTTGTTGGCTGATGGTTTACAACGGCGGTAATAGGAGATTTACCCCTACAGAGAGCATGCTTGCTGAATTATTACTCTGCAAACTGTTTCGTGGCGGCCTGGTCTTCTGTCTTTCTGTCTGTCTCATGGCCATGAAGTGAAACCATTGCTGCATTTCAGAACAAAAGCCCAAGACAAGCGGATTCCGCTTGCTTCACTACGCGAAGAGATCGCGTTGTTGGTGCCGGTCACGCATCTCTTTGGATTGCGGGATTAAAACATATTGCGAGTAACGTATTGACTGCCCGACATTAGCTGTGTTCAGCGACCACTTTGAGCCTGCACAACCGCAGCAGCAGTTCACCAACACTGCAGTCAGCCAACTGGGGTCACAACCAACACGGTACCAGAGCGGAGGCCGAGTGGTACCTGACGCACGTGGCCGGGCCGCCACACGAGGCAGCGTTACCAGAGCTGAGGCCGAGTGGTACCTGACGCACGTGGGTGGGCCGACTCACGTCCTCGACCTTGAATTGCCCTTAGCATATCAGGCTCGCTGTGATGCATCACATTATGAGCCAGGGTGATCACTTGAAGCTCTGCCACGTGTCGAGGCGACGCCATCAAATGTCTTACGCAGGTCAGACGCATGGCCAAATCCACGTTGGCCAACAATCGCTCTGGTAGCAAAGATTAGAATCTTTTCGATTCTATCTAAATTTGTTCTGCGTGCCATTGTCATAAGCCGTCAGACAGTATCTGACCTGCGTGAGCCCCAACGCCGCCACTAGAGTTCTGATGACGTCATCTGCAAGGCAGTGCAGCGCGAAGGACAGGTTTATCAGCACGCCCATGCACCGGCGGCTGAGCTCGGACACGTGTGAATCCCAGACAGGCCGCTGTCAAAGACGACACTTAAGTTCATCGTCTCCGCACAGGATCGCAGCACGGCGTTACGAAAAGTTACGGTGAGGTTTAGAAGAGCGAGTAAATTTTGACGACTACCGAAAGTGATAAGTTACGTTTTGGCTGCGCTTACACCTGGTGTCATCTGCACATTGAAAAGAAAGTCGCTTTCTGCGTACAAAGATAGATTACTCGAAAAAGCTGTGAAAAGAATACGCTCGGATGCAAAACTCTAGAAGGTACAACGCCCCAGGCGCTGTGACGTCACGGGTCAAGGCCGACGGAGCGCGGCCCGGCGGCGCGGTCTTGCTGTAGGATCTCGCGTCGGGTGGTGATTTCACGCGGCAGACAATGATCAGGCTCTTTCGTACGCAGTGTAAGGTGGAGCTGACTGGGTGGGGGTGCCGACAAGCGGCAGTACACAGACGATGGCCAGCAAAGTCCAAAATTGGGCCAAGTTTCGATGCATGCTGGCTGTCGGCGGACACGTGAAACACTGACGTGGCGGTGGAAGGCCAGGTCCGTGACGAGTCAGCTTGTACGTCACGATCTAGTCGAGAAGGGTGCTGTTAGCCGGAGACAAATCGGGCACACACCCGAACACCCGTCTTCATGCACACAAGCGCTTGCACACAAGGAGGAACCGTGAGGTAACCAGTGAAGAGACAAGTAGCGCTCGCATTCGCGCGTGGCGTCGCGCTCATCTGAACTGATAACAATGAAAACAAATGAGTGTGCAAGAGAGCATCAGAAAAGGTCAACACACGCGCATATAACGACATTCTGGCACTGAAAGCAAAGCACTGACTAATACGCTACCTCTCGAGAAGTTGAAGTACTTCAAGTGAGTCAACTCGTTTGCTAGGGGGACAATTTCGCACGGCCAGTCCGAAGCGGGGCGTCCGAGGATTCAGGATGGGGCGAGAAAGTTGACAAAAGGGTCGGATGACTAACACGAGTTAGGCTTTGTGCTACAAAAGGCAGGTTTTGCGCTACATTCTTCCTATATATTACTAAATTCGGCCTTGTAATCGAATTACTCAATAAAAGCGCTATACCTGAGTATGTAAATGCAAGCAAACACCTTAAACTCACGGATAAACATAACAGAACGTCACGTGGAAGGTGCAAAGGAAGAGCACCTACCACGTCGACCATGATATCCATCCAGCGCTTTAACTTAAGCCAGAGTGTCTTCTGTAAAGTACCCGTGAATGACACTGACAGAAACTCCAGTTACAGCGTGTTACGGTATATGATGGCAAAACCTCGGCCAGATTTTCCAGCCTGTTGATCTTTTTCCAACGTACATGTGCCAGAAACAGGAGCATGCGGTCCTCGATTATCTCAGTCACGTTTTTCCGCGGTAGAATATTTCCAGTCTCTCAACGACAAGCAGATTGTTCACATCGCTCACGTGCTTGACGAGGGACACCCCCTCTGGGTGACGGATTTTTCAGCCTGGTGATGTCTGCAGGTTATGCCGCATCTCTGCGTGCCGGGTTTGACAGGTCATAATGCGAGGTGGACGAGACAGGTGTCGCCCTCTGCCTTGGTCTGGCGTTGTCAGACGTGGCAGGGAGCGGGCTTCTGCGTCTTGGTGGCGTGTCCGATCTTGAAGAAAGTCCGTTAGGTAACACGCACCCTGATCTGCCGATTGGATATGCGTTCAGCTCGAGCGCCTCGATGGTGGCGGTGCCTTTGCAGGCCGAGATGCCGCAGCAAAGCTACCACCGAGTCGCTCAGCTGCGTTGTAGCGGTGCCCTGAAGCTGAGGTTGGGCTTGTGAATAGGTGGCGCTAGTAACCAGCCCGTCCGACCTCGCTGGGGCATGTGAGGGGCCGCTGAGAAGCACAGTCGGCTGCGCAAAACATGGCTGGGAATTAAAGGTGACCGTGAGTTCCGCCGGTTCGTGGTCCGACCGACCTGAAATGTCAACAAAGGTGACGCGGAACAAACGCACGCGGTAATAGCAATATCTGGGTGTTGGTTCTCCCGTAAGGATAACTACTCATATGACCTGACATAACGTCACCTCTAGAAGTCACTAGGGAACATCTTAATGCTAATTACATGGGCAGATCAGGGCTAGATACACAAAAATGCCTATAAACAATGGAGCGTAACTCAGCGTTTCAAGACGCAGCAGAGCCAGTGCTAGATTTAGTCCTTTTCTTTTGTTTAGTTAACTCCAGTGTGTCTGGCAAAACCATCCTGCAGGCCAGGTGTAAAACCGTCCAATGGTGGAGGCCAGTTGCATATTTTAACGTGCAAAAGGCGCACAAAACTTATGTTGAAGCTTAAAGGTTTGTCATTGTTGATGACACGGCTATCGCCTGACTTGTGTTTACGCTAGCTAGAAAGACAATCATTTGCCGATCCCAACTGACGTCATCACCTTTGTCACACAGAAACTAAATATGTCGTTCCTTGCAGGCTTGATGCCTAGAAGTCGTGGGATTATATATATATATATATATATATATATATATATATATAATATATATATATATATATATTTAAATGAACGTCTTCCGCCATTTCAGCATTAGCGTACGAAACGGTTTTGAGTTTCATTCATGAAACCTCGCACACAAATTCGATTATAAACATTGACTTGCGCCAGTCATTTCAGCAGCATTCAGGCATTTTTCCAAGACGTAGGTGTGAGCAAGTTCAGCAGAAGGGAATGTCCCGCCCTTGGTGCATGCTAAAACATAATCTAATGAAGCCCCATGAATAGTTACGTCTAATAATAACACTGATTACTGCCCCTACGGCACGGCCAAGTTATAATGAGGAGTGAAATTTTAATTATTTAGAGTCTAACTTGTGCTGTCAACGCTTGATAACAGCATTACGCCTCTTCCTCTGCAGATGCGGCGACCGTAGGCATGACAACTACCGTGCGCACCTTTTATTCGCACCTTTACTTGTGGAAATAAAGTAACGTTTGTGTTTGACACAGCGAGCAATGGTCTGCTACCAAGGAGTTAAATTGTTGAAGTTTGAGTAAGTGCGTCACGTGATGCTATAATTCTCAAAACTAAACTGCGCCTCGAAAGAGGCAATGTCGTGAATGCCCTATCAGGCAAGGACGCTCTAAATATGAAAATCCCACTGGACTTCAAACACTATACGATCATATTCTGGACTCATCGCCAGAAGTTAGATAAATTAATCCAGCAACGAAAGTTTGCTCAGGTGCTCTCCCACTAAAAGTATGGTTCAATCCGGCCCCTTCCAGCGTCTTTTCAAACACAAAATAGACCAACTTCACAATAAAGCTGTCTCTATAATGAGGCCTACCACTGAAATTCTTCTATCAGTTGTAAATCACAGTGAACTGAGAACTTTCACGTAATGAAGGAAAATGTCCACATTCTAGATATTCGGTGTCATGCCATATCTTTCGCCGTACACACTACACGTGTTGTTGAATAAGCGCCAATGCAAAGTAGGGTTTGCCCTATCTTCATGCGTGACCGAGGTTCCTGGGTAGGAGCGCTTCTTCTCACAACTCACAATAACCACCCACTGGATGTTCAAACATCCAAGTATTCCTTTGTTACCAGCTCCTCACCGCTCGGACAAAACACACACCGAGACACGAACCCAGATGATACGCGAAGAGGTCACGTTGTTGGTGCCGGTTACGTGTCTCTTTGAATTGCGGGAGTAAAACATATTGCAAGTAAGGTATTGACTGCCCGACAATAGCCACGTTATACGACCACGTTGACTATGCACAATCGCAGGAGTAGTTAACCAACACCACAGTCAGCCAACTGAGGTCACAACCAACATGGTACCAGAGCGGAGGCCGAGTGTACCTGACGCACGTGGGCGGGCCGCCACACGAGGCAGCGTTACCAGAGCTGAGGCCGAGTGGTACCTGACGCACGTGGGTGGGCCGACTCACGTCCTCGACCTTGAATTGCCCTTAGCATATCAGGCTCGCTGTGATGCATCACATTATGAGCCAGGGTGATCACTTGAAGCTCTGCCACGTGTCGAGGCGACGCCATCAAAGTGTCTTACCCAGGCCAGACGCATGGCCAAATCTACGTTGGCTAGATATCGCTCTGGTAGCAAAGTTTAGCGTCTTTTCGATTCTATCAAAGTTTGTTCTGCGTGCCATTGTCATAAGCCTTCAGACAGCATCTGACCTGCGTGAGCTCCAACGCTGTCACTAGAGTTTTGATGACGTCATTTGCAAGGCAGTGCCGCGCGAAGGACAGGCTTATCAGCACGCCCACACACCGGCGGCTGAGCT